ACAGAAATAGAGAAGGGAAAGAAAAATGGCTTAGCTAATTACAGCATCGGATCTTCCTCTTTGCTCTCGCTCTGACTCTCTCTGCATGAATTTTCTGTCTCTCTATATCTCTCTGTCTGTGGGAACTCTGCGAATTTCCCATTGTTCGTTGATTGCTTCTCTTTTAAAGAGATGTCGATGGGTGAGCATCACTTTCAATGTGTTTTGGTTGTCGTCCAAATGCGTTTTTGTTGCGAGTGTGTCTTTTTTGTCTCTTTCGCGTGAGTGCGCAATTTCTAAAAACGTTGTCGGACGATCGCGCGATCGTCACTTGAAGACAACCAGCAATTGGAGGCGGCTTAATTACAATCACGCTATAAATTACGTTCGAATCTCCATTCTTCCTGCAAAATATCGAAATCGATATAAAACTATACAAAATAGTGTTTATATCAATATATACATGTAATCATCACTATATCCATTTATACGTGAACGTACAAACAAACTTGGTTAGTTCACACATATTTTGGATTCAATAAATGAGACCAACAGAAACTTTGTTTTTTTTAAATTTTGGGTTCAAACACTTTCAAAATTTGTGGGTGTGTGTATAGTTTTTTTATAATCTGTATATAAGTTCACTGGATTAATAACTAAAGATTTTTTGTGTGTAAAGTGTTATAATTCAAATTATCAAATCTAATCTAGATTTTGGTCCTATATATAACTATATATTTTACTTTTTCTATATTTTTTTTGTTGAATAAAGATTTAGTGCGGTGAGCGTGGATCGAACACGCGGTCCTATATAACTAATATACTTTTTCTATAATTTAAAATATAGAGACATGTGATTTTGAATATACACCCGAATATCAGGCCGAATCATTCATATTAGGGTTAAAATTCATGTGGTATTTTTTTTTGTAACGGCGGGAACTCAACCACAGTCCTTCGGGCGCGGTGATAAACCCTTGCAAACCACGTGTAGAGGATAGTCACCATTAATATTTACTATGGTTACGCGAATTTGTCCATGTTTAAATGTTGCGAACGAGAGTTTGCGTACTACGTCAAAGTCAATATTGAAATACGTGGATTATAGATGGGGTAGGTTGATGTCTTTAGGTCTTTGTCCGAAAAATTAACGTATAATTATTAATGAACCGTGGTTTAGGACGAAATATGAATATGAACCAATAGGGGGGAGCTACTTAACAATGAGGGTAATTAAGAAGACGTTAAACACGTTTAATTGGCGAAGTAGACAACGTTTGACCAATGGAATCAAAGCTAGTCGTGTGACGTGGGGACACGACCTTAATTTGCAGTTTAACACCAAAATCGTAACTGCCCTCGCATTAGATTTGTCGTCCTACTATTAAGCTCGTGACGAAGACCTTGAGTCCTTGACCCCTTTTCTTTCATGTATGGAATAAGCTTTTTTTTTAAACAAATTATATTATATCTGTCTACTTTGGACAAAGAATATGGAGTAAGCAAAATAATGAGATTAATTAATTAATTAATTTTACGTGCAAGTTAATGCTATCGGTTCATTTTCTGTTTATACTTTGTAGTATGTATCGATAGATAGATATTCAATGTCGAAGAATATTACAAAATATATTGTATTGTGAAGATTTTATTAAATATGAAAAATAGATATTTAAATATATTTATTAATATTTGATGTTATCTTTCGTTTATTTTCTAATGTATTTATATGTTATTTGATTATTAACAAAAGGTGCGAGGCAAATTTTTATTCATGATAGTGTTGCGTGCGAATGAATAAAAGGAGAATATATGTTTGCTTTGAAAATATAGGCAAAGCCTAAAATTCAATGCGTATTTTTTTTAAAAAAAAATTTCCATGTCTCCTGAGAACTTTGAGGAGGTATAGACTATGGTTTTTTTTTTTTTTTGACAAATTATGATTTATCTATCTACTTGGTTAAAACATTTTAGATATGTAATGAAATATATAATATTTATGTTTGTTCACTCTTTTGGCATCTTTGAAGCCTTGGACAATTTACTCATCTCATTTGCCACCCTTTGACTGAAAACTCGGAAACTAACTAAATCAAATCTTTTTCAAATGGTAAAACATGTCTCGATAGCATTTTTATTTCATTCCAACAGCGGCTTCGTCGGTCCATATTTTCATACTACATATTGAATTGATACAGATGTGGATCGAGCCGAGGAGTGACCATAACTTCAAGAGGGGTGGCTTTCAGGTTCACCAAGCCATTGCTCTCAGTCATGTCCATGTCTTCTTCAATCGAGGGCTTGGCCACTTCGAAGCTGTGTAAGAATCTGGCCAATGCATAATGCACCATCCTAAGACCTAGAGGGATGGCAGGGCACGACCTTCGTCCCAACCCGAACGGGAAAAGCTTGAAACTTTGCCCTCCAACGTCCACGTCGTTGTCAACTGTTAGAAACCTCTCCGGCTCAAAACGTTCGGGATCAGACCACAGGCTCGGATCACGCTGAATCTTCCACGCGTTCACCAGCAGGAGAGAGCCTACCGCGAGAATATTCGAGAAAAAAGAAATACATGGTTACATAATATTTAGATTTGATTTGATTTCCCTATTCAAACTTGACCAAGCTATATATATGACCATTGTGAATCGGCAAGATATTATGTATAGAGAAGTTTACGTACCTGCAGGGACATGATAGGTTCCATTGGCGACGTCGAAATCATCCAACACATGCCTGAAAGCGACTAGAGGGACCGGTGGGTATAAACGGAAAGTTTCCTTGACTATTGCTTGGATGTAGACAAGGTCTTTGATGTCGGATTCTTCCACAACTCTGTTCTTTCCGACGATGTTGTCTAGCTCTTCTTGAGCTTTCTTAATCACGTGTGGATTGTTGACGAGTAGCGAAACTGCCCAGACGAGAACGACGATGGCCGTCTCGCTTCCTGCCAGTATCAGATTCTGCAACAACAACAAAAACTTCATCTATCTGTTGTATACATTTTCAAGATCAGGGTTTTTTTTAGGGAAAGATATCTTACCAGACAGAGAGCCTTGGTGGTTGTCCGAGCGTCCAAACCCGGGATCTCGGTGTGTTCAAAGGTATCCATCAGTAGATCCAAGTATGTTTTCTTTATTTCCCCAAGACCCAGATCGTGTTTCTTCTTGTTCTTATGTTCTGCAATCAATTCTTCAAGAACCACATCCAATTCCTTAGCCGCTCTCTTCATGTCCCTTTTGACTCTCCATTCCGTCCATCCAAGAGCCGGCAGGAAATCGGAGAACAAGTAAAGAGAAAAGAAATCCAGAAAGTCTCGCACCAGTTTCCGACGTTCCATTGCTTCTTCCTTCTCACAGTTTGGACTGTCCCCGAAGTATCTTTTCCCGACAACCATCATTAACGAGGTGTTCGCCGTCAGATCCTGAAACTCCCGCTTCATGTCCACAAGAACTCCATTCTTGGCCCTTCCCTTGCTCTCCCACAGTTTCCATAGATTCCCGAACGAGACATCAGCCTCTCCAGCTCTGTAATGACTCTGCATATCGACACGAATGCTCGAAAGAAGCTCCGTGGCAGCGATCTTGCGCATCTCCCGCCACTGAGGGCCGTAAGGTTTGAAAGTCAGGAAGCTGTCGTCGTAGCCTAACAGCTTAGATGCGGTGAGACCAGGCCTGTCCAAGAACTTGTCATGGACAGTGTAGATTTCTTTGGCAATCTCTTGGCTGCTTATGATGATACTTGTGTAGGAACCGAGCTTGGTGGCGAAAACGGGTCCGTAGACTACGGACATGTCCCCGAACGTGGCGTGAGTTGGCGTCTTGCTGTCGTAGAAAAGCAGATGGCCGATGACTGGCCATGCTCCGGCTGCAAGTGGCACCTCTCGTCTGTTCTTTGTCGGCCGTCGATGTAAGCGAACGAAGACCGAAGCAGCAACGAGGATGGAGACAAGAGTCAAGAGAATAGGAAATATTTCCATTTTGATTGATTTGATTCAATATCTTGTTTTGGTCATGTGGGTTTTTATTATCGAAAGAAAAATATTTATTTATTTAATGTTTTCTAGGGGAAGTGGTTTATCTTACAGCTCATTATGATTTTATTTATGGCCGAGAATCTCAAAATATAAAATAAAGGATTACTTAAGTGGGCAGTGGCGTCATTACTCGGAATAATTAAAAAAAATAAAAATAAAAATTAAATTACAGTGAAGAAACCATGCTTATCATGCGTTTGAAAATTGTCATATTATGATATTAGGTCAAAGCCATAATCTCACCTGATATTGAGTCGTTGGCCTGTCACGTTTCAACTCGAAACACGTAATACTCGCGCATATCCATGTACATTTATGATTTTTGTACGATTCAATGTCACTTATGGTAATTAACTATATACCAATTTGGCCATTTATAGTTCTATCATTTTACAATTATGATGTATTAACGTTTTATATAAAAAAAACCCTAATTGAGACTTGGTTATCGAGTACACGTCAGATAATTGGACAGATCACATCGAAACAGAAATTTTGCCAATGAACAATTGTCATGTACGTATAATAATATCATATTAACATATACGGATACGGCCACATGAATGAATGATAGGGTTAGGATAACTTCTATTGTTGCCATGTTCTTGTTTTTTTTTTTTTATAGTCAGGGTGATTGTCTAGGTATTCGGTCTGACGACTACATGGATTCTAAATTCGGGATCAATCTTTGTATATAAATAATTTTGATCCAAAAATTATAGCATTTTTTACCAATAATATCGAATCCAAAATCTTAAAAACTCACCTATTAAAAACTCACCTATTGAATCATCAACTGTTGGGTTGTCATGTTTTTGTTACGATTGATCTTTAGTACTCAAGAAGGCAAGTGGATATTGCATGATTATTAATTGTCTTCACCTATCTGGACCATATGCTTGTTTTTTATTGAAATGATTGTATTTATTGGGTCTAATAACAATCTTTTTTTTCTCTAAGAGGGTGCAAAAGAAATGTTCATCCCGTAAATTGTTATTTAATTTTATCGATTTTTGTATTTGAATAATAACGTTGGCATTGACCTCAACCACTCGAGGGAATCAAGTTTTGGCGAGGTGGGTTATACCATCTATTTATTTATTTATTTATTTATTCATATTTATTTGTTAATACACGGCGTTGCAAACGCTCTGTCTTTGTTTAACCTCCCCGACACTCTGGTTCTCTCGGTTGGCGAACTCCTCTTGAGTTTTGTGCTTTGGGTTTTAAAAAGTTGTTTATTAAGAAATTTCATTTTTGTTTTTATTGATTTTTTTTATATTATCGCATTGGCATTATTTACGGCTTTGTTATTTCATTTTAAAAAAAAAAATTATTCTTGTAAGTTGGTATTCTCAAAATCTAGATTGACTATGACACAAAAACTTTGAGAAAGACTTGCATTTATTATACTACACAGACAGATATCATATGATGTATATTTTGATTTTTACGTCTCCAAATTATTGGTTTATTTAATATTATTGGTATCCAAGAAATCGCACCAAAAAAATGCCCAAACTTTGGTTATAAAAATGGCCTTAAGAGGATAACTTTTTCACTTGTGAAACCAAGAAACTTATCATGGCGAACCAAACCGGCTCATGCCCTCTAGTTGTCGAGAAGAAAGCAACCGAGTTCATCAAACCTTCAAAACAAATACCCTCACAAATTCTATCTCTTTCCACGTTAGATAATGATCCTTACAACGAAGTTATGTACTGCACGATTTACGTATACCAAGGAAGAAGCACGACTCATGAACCTGAATCCCTTCTTAGAGAGGCTCTGTCCAATCTTCTTGTCCACTACTATCCTCTCTCGGGCAAGTTGGCCAGGCGAGAATGCGACAGGAAGCTTCAGCTCAGATGTAATGGCGAGGGCGTCCCTTTCACTGTCGCTACATCAAATCTCAAGCTCTCTTCTTTCGGCTATCTAGACGGGAATATTGATTTCGATACTGTATCTTTGCTTTTGCCCCAAACTGATGATGAGAACTATGACAGGGAGATCGGTTACCACCCTTTGGCTTTGCAGGTAACCATATATATGCGTGTATATATATATATATATATATATATATATATATATATATATATATATATTGCTGTGATAAACAATGGGTATTCACACTTTTGGAATGAAAACTATTTAGGTAACCAAATTCCAATGCGGAGGATTCACGATTGGGACAAAGCTGGTTCTTTCGCTGTTTCTCCTTATATGCCAAGTGAAGACATGGTATGCATGCGAAACTATTACACTTCCTTCCCTACATAACATTCACTGTAGAAAAATAAAATGCGGAAATAAAATAAGACAAATAGAAAAGAACAGAATTACTTTTATTGTTACATCTCTTTTTCTTGTTGAATTACAATGAAAATGACTCACATATTTATAGAAAAACTATGAAACGAAATAAAAAGAAAATAGAAATAAATAAGATCGACACACAATATTTGATATAACATTATGTCCATTATTATTTCTAATCATATCTTAAAATCACCATTTCCTTCAATCACATATTCATTTTTCTATTTTAACATTCTCCTCGAGATTGATTTTGAAAGAATGCAAAAATCGATCTTGAAAAGATAATGCGATAAAAACCCATTGATATTTTCATTGTCTTTTGAAAAATCCATAAACACCAAATTTAGTTCTTTTAGAGAGTATTATCCATTTTCAAATCATTTCACTTGACTTTTCAGTTCTACCTTTAACTCTTTTTGTCATAGCATCTCACTTGATCTTAGAGTTTTTAGGTTTGACATCTTTTTGTCATAACACCTCGTTTGATTTTGGGTTTTTACTCTTCTTTGAACGATTTGGATATATGAATATCCAAAACTAAAAAAAGAAAAGATTGAAAAAAAAAGATATAGAGCAGATCGAACCAGGTTCTGATACTATGTAGAAAAATAAAATGCGGAAATAAAATAAGACAAATAGAAAGGAACAGAATTACTTTTATTGCTACATCTCTTCTTCTTGTTGAATTACAATGAAAATGACTCACACATTTATAGAAAAACTATGAAACGAAATAAAAAGGAAATAGAAATAAATAAGATCGATACACAATATTTGATATAACATTATATCCATTATTATTTCTAATCATATCTTAAAATCAATATTTTCTTCAATTACATATTCATTTTTCTATTTCAACATTTACATCCACGTGTAGTGATGAATGTTTTTTTCATTATGTGTCCCTACTTTTTTTTTATAACAGATAAGTGAGGCGATCAATGTTAAGGCTGACAGTATAAAGAGGTTGAAAGAAGATTTACGGAAAGAATTATCCGATTTTTCGGGTCAGATTCCGACAACTTTCGAAGTTCTTGGAGCTTACATTTGGAGGTCAAGAGTTCGAGCCCTAAACCTAAACCCGGATGGAATCGTCTTGCTAGGTTTAGCAGTGGCAATAAGACAAGACATGGATCCTCCATTGCCTGAAGGGTACTACGGAAACGCCTGCATAGATATGCACTTAGAATTAACAGCAAGAAAGGTGGAAGAATCGCCAATCTCTGAGATTGTGAAACTCATAAAGAAAGCCAAGATCGAAGCTCATGATGAGGAGTACATTCATGGGCAGTTAAGGAACAAAGAGAAGATGATAAAGATGGACGAGTGGTTCGAAGGAAGACGTGACGGGCTGTTGTTCTTGACGGACTGGAGGAACATTGGGTGGTTCGGGTCGTTGGATTTCGGATGGGGAGAGCCGGTGAATCTGCTGCCGGTGGTTCCGCCGGAAAAAGCCATAGATCTCGGCATGTTCTTGAAGCCTTCGAGGTCGGATCCGTCAATGGAGGGAGGGGTCAAAATGGTTATGTCATTGCCAAGAGAAGCCATGCCCAAGTTCAAGGAGGAGATGGACGCTCTCAACAAGGTTGGAGATGGTGCTTATGGCGCATAAAAATATTCTTGGTCTAAATCCGGATTATTACATAAATAATATATAATGGTGTGTTATGGTTATTGATCGAAGCTAAATAAAACGTACGCTCTATGTCATGTCACTCGTTGCATGTTGTCGTTGAAATATCATGATGATCTATGTGATCATATATATGATTGTGTATATTGAGATTTTATAAATTTCGTGCTAGAAGACTTGTGCCAATCAAGGTGGCATGTGAGAACAACTGCCATGTCATGGACATCAACAACCAATAAATGTCATTGCTATGTAACTATGTTCTTGTTATATGTTACATCTCCTTGTCTTCTCTTATTGACATAATATTGCATGTAATAAAATAACAAATCATATTATAATTATGATCACATTTAGTTAATTCAAACATAATCCCACCTGCTATTTGTTTGTAATAGTCGTTGGCCTGTCATTATACTTCTCGAAACACGTACTTCATGTGCATGTGCAAAAGAGAAACGCACCTATACCCCCAATTTACGTTGCATTATAATTGCATATACATCGTCCGAAAATTTCTTTTTAAATCCCCTCGGATTTGGTCGGAATCTGGAAATGAAAATAAAAAACAATCTTTTAGCTTTAGTCTTCACTCGAATTTTTAAAATTAATTTCTCCTCAGAATCAATACACCCTAATTTGAGTTAACTTGATTCTTCCCCTTCGAAAGTCACTTCTATAAAAAATCGATAATCACAAAATTGCAGTGTTTGGTTTGGAAGATAACATAAACCTCGTTTAGAACACAGCTCGTTACTTTAAAAAGTTGAGGCTTTCTCGAAAGCCAACCCCATTTATGAAACAAAACCATCAATCAACGCCTTTGGGGGAACATGGCGGAGACAAGGCGGAGGGCTTGGTTAGAGTTGTTCAAGACAGAGGAGGATCTAGCCACTTGCATTTTCCTCTTCTTCAAGAACTCCAAAGAGTTCTTCAAGCACTCGGGCGGCGGTATATCGCCCAGAAGAAAAGCTCCCGCCCTGCGTACAAATTCGGAAATAAACCCTAACGATCCATCCCTTTCGGAGTAGAAATATAGCACAACGCGCAAAGAAAACGTACCCTGCGCTTTTCCGCTTCTTCGACTTCCTCTTCCCGCTTGTGAGAGACTTTGCTTCCTCGTCTTCGTCATCTTCGGAATCTGATGGAGGAGATTGATCGAGCCTGCAAATATGGAAATGTGCATCTTCAGGGTACTGTGTTTTATCGCCGAGGACGAGTGGAGATAGTTTTTAGAGAGAGGAGGGGATCCGGTTATACTTTTCCCGGGCGGCGAGCTTTTCTACGACGTGTTTGGGAAGGAACCCCTGGTTTGCACGAGATCGTTCAGCTTCAGGGTTTTCTTCAAGCTCTTCTACATCTTCAACGTGTTCGTTCCTCACTGATGATTGTTGTGTTGCTCTCTGTGCCTGTTGTTGCTTACGCTTTTCTTTCTTTTCACGAATAACCCTAACACCAGACAAAACAGAACCTCAGCTACCACGAGAAATCATGCACCGTTCCTCACTAAACCCCTAGACAGTATATTGGTTCATACCAATAATAAGAAAACACAGCATATACCATATTGTACCCCATCACTAAGACACCAAATACAACATACAACATCATGTTGCCTTCTTTCACATATGAATCGAATCCCATCAGTGAATGCAGATAGATATTTGCAATGCCCTAACTATTGTTGATATCCAAGAGGGATCATACATACAAGCCCAGAACTCCATCATTGTCTTACTAGTATCATGTGAACAGGAGCATCTAAGCTCTGATGCTACTATTTTCACGGATCAAACACAGATATCTCAAGTTAATTTCCTCCATGACATACCCATTAGGCGAGGGAATCAAAGTGAAGTTCCTCATAATAATCACCGGCTTATAGCCATAATCAATCATTTAGCACTACGACACCAAAGATAATTACTTTGCTTCTTCGAACTCCCCCAGTTTACAGGACAACCAGAACCTCCCAATTCCTAATCCAAACAACACGAATCGCTCAAACGAAAACTTAATGACCACCGAGTTTTCAAGGAGCACCCACGAATTTGTTTAGACAGAAGTGTACGGATGAGAACACGAACCTTGCCTTACTGTCTTTCTGCGCTTTACTTATTTCATCATGCTTCGCTATTGTCTGAAACGAGAGAAAAACAAACCCAGAAACACCAATCAGATCCTCTTGACACCATTTTTCTCAGAATACGAAACTGAATTACAGAAACGGAAAGAATAAGAATGGAGCGAAGACGGAAACTGAAAAGAGGTGCCGAAGAAGCAGAAGAGTGAAAAACCTGCTCTTGCGTGAACTCCTCGGGCGCATCGGAGTCGTAATCTTCTTTCCCCGACATCGAATCCGAATCTCTCTTTCTCTCGCTCTGGTCTAGGGTTTCAAGCCGTCACTGCAAAAACCACCGGACTTGTCCCTCTGTTTCTTACCACAGTTCCAAGTCAAATTTATGGTATATTTGATATGACGGGCTTTCTGTTGGGCTTTTATGACAATTCAAAAGGCCCATATAACAGGCCCATAATTCAACATGGGCTTTATTTCATGTTTTTAAATTCAGTGGAACCCAAACCCATGGCCTTTCTAAGAAAACCCAACGTGAGTTGATGTTTTTAAAGTGATAATATTTACTCCGTATTTGACTTTATTTAGTTAATACAAAGTTTCGGAAGTCGTAAAATTAGGTAAATTTCCAAGAAGAATTGTCGTCGTCACGAGGTCACGTGCGTGCTGTTACGGAGAAAGAACAAAAGTTGGTCGTGGAAAAAAATGTTCCCCCGAAATTCCGCTAGAGACATTTTCAATTTGCATTTCCAAACGCATTGAACAAAAATAATAATTTTTTTTATAATTTATTTGTTTAATTTTTTTTATAAACGGACTTGTTTGTTTGTCTATGAGATAAAATAAATCCATTTTCTACTGTTTTGGGATACAAAATAAGTTTGGTCCGACCTAATATAAGTTTAAATCCCTACTATCAATTTGTTTTGTAAAGGGCATTATCGTAATTGTATTTTCGCCCCAAGGTTAGGACTTAGGAGGCCCGTGAACGGACTGTGACTCAAGGTTAGGTCCAATCCATTATAAGTTAAACTTATAACCCAACAAAAATACCCCTCTTTTTTTTATTTTTTTTAATAATTTAGAAGTTCGTTCGGATCTTTTATCCAATAATTATGTATTAAAAACGAAAGGGATCGATGAAATTTCATTATTGTAACATCAATATTATTCTAATTGAACAAATATATATCGAAGGGATATTTTTTTTTTATGTTCTCCTGTCATGAGAACTGGAAAATTATAAAAATACAGAGGATTTATGGGACAAAGACCTTGATTTTTATCATATTTTATTTTCTACAACACAAAAAAAAATAGCAAAAGAAAAGAATTGTCAATATATTGCCCGTCTAGGTGCCCCTTGATTATTCAAAACAATATATAATCTAATGCGTTTAATATAATAACTTTAAGATTAAAATAAATAAATAAATATGATGTCGGAAAAGAAAAAGCTTAGGTCAGGTCAAAGGCATTTTACCGATTTGCTCGCTGACCAATGACAGGGCATCTCTCCTCCTCAAATCTCTCCCGAGGATATTTTCGTCTTCTTAAACTACATTACCATTTGACACGTAAGCTTTCGTTTTATTTAATCTCAGTTTTTGTCTTTCTTTTTTAAGATTACAGAGAGCCGGACATTTCCACAAACGAAGATGCAGACATGGCGATCATCGGTGATTTATCCTTCGTTTGTCCTTTTTTTGTTGATTTCATCGTATCAGAATCAGAAGCTCGAGTTCTTGTTTTGATTGGATAGAGCCGAGCCGCCACTGAACAGAAGAAGCTGTGAAGGTCTTTTGATTGTTTGCTTTTTCTTCTTCTTCTTCCTTTTTTTTGCTGTTGGAACTGGGAAGCGCTGGTCAGACTCTGGGTTCCGCCATTAATGGAGGAATCACCTTCAGTCTCTCGTTCCTATGATTATTGATTGTGTTCTGTATCTGTACTGTTGGTAGATGAAGCTTTAAATAGCTCAACTAAGGTTTTAGCTTCCATTAAACCATTTCACGGATTTGCTTCCAGTGATGATCAATGATCGGAACGCTCATAATTATGAGTTTCTTCCCGTGTTCTTTTTTTTCCAGGAAGGTGATGAATGTTCAGATCGATTTGATCCATGTCATCAACGATGATTTCTTACGGATTAAGCTTGCTTCTGGTGATAATCGGAACCGCCAAATTCGCTTCCACCATCGCCGACAGTTGTGACGGCGTCTGCGGTCGGAAGACGCTGCCTTACCCGTTCGGTTTCTCGCCCGGTTGCCCGATCCAGTTCAACTGCTCCGGCGGCGTCGCGAATATCGGAGAGTTCTCCGTCCAGAACGTGACGGAGGAAAGCATATTCGTCGGGGTTCCCGCCGAATGCCGACGCTCGATCGAGAAATTGAAGCCACTCTTCGGTGAGCTCCACGCGCCGACGTCGGAGAACAGCTTCCTGGTGGAGCAATGCAAGAGCTCGTCGGAAGAAACCTGCTCGATCAAGCAGAAGTTCCTGGAGAGCCAACTGAAGCTGCGAAGCTGCGATTCCGATGGAAACATAAGCTGCTACTCTCTGGACACGAACATCACCAAGTTCTTCAGCTTCGAGAATCTGACACGGACCTCGTGCCGGTCTCTGTTCTCGTCGATAGCGTTTGAATCCGTGGGCGAGAATTCCGCCATAGCCCTCGAGTTCGAGCGACTTCGTCTGGGTTGGTGGCTAAAGGGACGATGCAGAAAGGGGACATGCTCAGAAGGTGCAAACTGCACAGATGTCGCCATTGCAGATAGTTATCATGGGCATAGGTGCTCGTGCCCGGAAGGTTACATCGGAGATGGGTTCACAAATGGCGTTCCTTGCCGGAGAGGTGAGTCAATTGAGCCTTTTTCTCGTTTCTCTCTTGCTTTTGAACAATGCTTGTTCTTCTTGAAGCTGGGCGAGTATTTAAGCTTCCAAGTCCATAACTAGGCACAGGTTCTACTTGTTTCCACTTATGGAATACCTGTGTCTTGTTCATGGCTGTTCTGAGAATCTTGAAAGGCTAAGATGGATGAACAAGTTCTGCCTGAAATATGTGTCGTTTTCCTGGTCAGCATGTGGGTTCCGCTACTCTAAGATCGATAATAAGCAAGAATCGAAAACCGTAGAAAATACTTTGCTCGGAAGAAGTTTGTGCTCTCGAGGAACAATACCTGGAATAAACTGCTCAGGCAGTAGTTTCGAATCTTGGCAGAAATCGGAAAAATGAGCTCTTTGGATGTTCAAACAGTAGCATCATTCTGTTTTCTTATCCGGTTTCTGAAAACTGGCACGGCTTTGCTAACTCGCACTTCTATTGTACTCTCCTCAGCACCAGGGGATTGCCATGGCTCCAAGCTCGTATCCAGCCATTGCAGAGGAGCTAAATTTGGTATTCTTATAGGAGGTAATTTGTTGCCAATATGCCTCTTCTCTACTTTCATCGTTCTTCATTTTGATCCTGTGGATCCATTTTTTGCTACATAGGAACTGTGGCCGGAGCTTCCTTGATGGCTGTCTTAGCTCTGTTGATCTTTTGTATCCGGAGACGGTCCATTTCTTCGAGAAACTTGTTAAGGGCAAAACGCCTTTTGAATGAAGCTGCCGGCAACTCGAGTGTTCCTTTCTTCCCTTACAAGGAGATCGAGAAAGCCACCAGTGGTTTCTCAGACAAGCAGAGGCTAGGAACAGGAGCTTATGGTACTGTGTATGCAGGAAAGCTCCAAGATGATGAATGGGTTGCCTTCAAAAGACTCAGACAGAGAGACTCAGATAGCATTGACCAAGTCAAGAATGAGATCAAGCTCCTTTCCTCGGTGAGCCACCCGAATCTTGTCCGGCTCTTAGGCTGCTGTGTCGAACAAGGTGAGCCGGTACTTGTCTACGAGTTCATGCCTAATGGAACTCTATCTCAACACCTTCAAAGAGAAAGAGGGAATGGCCTTCCATGGATGGTCCGACTCACCATTGCCAATCAAACCGCCAAAGGTATAGCTTATCTCCACTCTGCCATGAACCCGCCCATCTATCACCGCGACATCAAATCCAGCAATATTCTATTGGATTACGACTGCAACTCCAAAGTTGCGGATTTCGGGCTTTCTAGAATGGGCATGACAGAATCCTCCCACATATCAACAGCTCCTCAAGGGACTCCTGGTTATCTTGACCCTCAATACCATCAATGCTTCCATCTTTCTGATAAGAGCGATGTGTACAGCTTTGGAGTCGTCCTCGTGGAGATTATAACGGCGCTAAAGGTTGTCGATTTCAATCGTCCGCACAGCGAAATCAATCTGGCGGCTCTTGCTATCGAAAAGATCAGATCAGGATGCATCGACGAGATCATAGACCCGATCCTCGAACCAAATCTTGATGACTGGACACTTTCATCAATACATAGCATGGCCGAGCTTGCATTCAGGTGCCTAGCCTTTCACAGAGACATGAGGCCAACTATGATGGAAGTAGCAGACGAGCTAGAACAGTTAATGCTTGGATCGTGGATTTCACGGACTGTTTCACAGCGATCATCTGACCCCGGAAGCCAAAGATCGACGAGAAAGTCGTCATCGATAGGAAGCATAAGGCTCGTGGTTCATCAGAAGCCACCTGATCGTCTCGAGTCCATGGATGAGATTCAGGACAGTTCTCCCGTATCGGTTCAAGACCCGTGGCTAAGTGACCAAAGCTCGCCTTCTGCCAACAGCTTACTGGGTAACATGCCTCGGTAATAATCTCCCTGAACTTAAAAACTGTTTATAAATCTTCTGTAAACATCTTCCAAACATTATTCAATGCTCATAAACGGTAGAAGCAGGGTCATGATGAATATAAATTTCATCTTCTATATGTAAAGAGAGTTGACATATTCTATGTACCATTCCCTGAACTAATAACAAATCTATACAAATGTCATATTTTTCCCATTCATCTTTGCAAAAGCAGCCTGAAACCGAAATCATATGGAACCACTTGAACAAATTCCGAAAGGGAATCTTTGTTCTTCCTCTCGAGACACCTGACAGCATCTTGTCTGAGTTCTTCGGGTAACTGGAGACAAATCCAATCAAGCAAAGATTCTAAGTCCTTGGCAAAGTCGAGGAGGTACCAATCAAGAACCTTTGGAATCATCAGTTTGTTGTTCTTTGAAATCCCGACTGCTGCTTGTAGATAGTCTCTCTTTGCAGCTTCGAGTTCTTCCTCGACCTTTTCTGCTGTGTAAACCCTAACCTTCAGTTGACAATAAAGGTTGATGCTTTAGATAAAAGGGTCTTCTTTCAATGTGAGATCAAGGGAAACAGGTTGATGCTTTTAGTGTAAAGATTCAACATTTGATATATAGGAAGTAAGAGAACTTACAGAAGGGGAAGACCAGCTTCCGCAGGCGAGTGTGAAAGTGACTAAGGGCTCGGACCATTCACACCCGAATGCACACCGAGCTCTCATCTCTTCGTTTTTTGCGGTTTTTGGACAAGTCTTTTTCCATAAGATGAAACATAAGAGAGAATGTTTTTTTTTTAAGTTTTAACTATCACTTTACTGGTGAAAGCAGTTCAGATTCAGAAAAGAAGATGATGAAGAACTTACAAACTTCAGGTGATATGGAAGTCTCAAGATGAAATGCTCGATCGTAATGGCGTTTAGCAAATGTCCCCCGACGGTTATTGTTGCCTGACACAACGAAAGAGAAGAAAGATCGGTTTGAAAGATACGGTCTTATATCAGAGAAATCAGGCAATGGATTAGCTCTAACCTTCTGCATTAAGGCTACAACCATCTCCGGTGTCTCGGGAATTCCATGCTCCAAGAATGCCTATGAGAGTGAACAAGAACAAAAGGTTTGATAAATCTATTTAACATTCTCTGTATTGTCAGTATGATTATCGGTATAACATACGAACAAGATGAACACTTTACATTCATCGTGCAGGAATTATATGTGTTTATCCAAAACGCGAGCTTCTGCTGGTGGCTAAGACCATCGAGACTTACAAGGGCAAGCTTACCGAGCAGAAACCTGAAATAATCAGGCAAAAGCATATAATCAGGTGTTGGATCCACCAGACAAGGAAAGACTAACTGTAACAACTTACTGGAGACGATGGATCAGAAACAAAGCATTGGTTGTTCTGTTAAGGTTGACTGAAGATGCATCGATTGAGCAGAGATTCTTGTAAGAACCAATTTCTCGGGCTCTCCATTCTGAACAGTTAGCGTAAGGATCGAGAAATCCGTTTTTCGTTGAACTAATCCTCAAGAAAATGCTCACCAAACATTTCACAAGGTCCTCCGAAACTCTGTTTGCTGAACTTCCAGTCTGTTGTGTCTTGTCATCTGAGGATGTAATAGATATGCTCTCTTGTGCTTTTTCTTGATCTGCTAATCTATTGTCCAGCTGGACCTGTTCTTTGATAGATTCTGAGCGTTTATCGGGTGAGCCATGCTTAATCGAAGGTCTCTTCAATGGCGTCACTGCCTTTCCGGGTTTCTTCTTCTCTGGCGATTGCTTATCTTTTGAAGCTTTAACTGAGGAATGATTCTCTTTCCCCCTTACATCCACCGGACTGGCACCGTTCAAGCTTGGTTTATTAGAAGAAGCCTGTTTGCCGTTTACTGTTCTGTTTCGATCTTGAATCGTGTGATCGGAGGAGAAGAGTTTCCTGCTCGAGACGCTTCTTCCGAGAGACGGTTGGTGATGTTTTGAAGGAGAGATCAATGAATTGAACTCGTGTTGTGACAGAGACTTCGAACGCTGGTGTTTGCTGCTCCTAACGGGCGAATTCTCGTTCAAACCATTAGGGCTCTCCAAATTTCTCTTGGAAGATGTATAAACAGCTTCCTGGTACAGACCTTGTCTAAAGCTGACAACTTGCTCTTCAAGCCGGACCACTTCCTCTTCAAGAACAGCTACTTCAGCCAGAAGCTCCAACGTCTTACAACCCGAGACGAACGAATTCAGAACCCGGAAACCAAACACAAAAGAATAGCAAGTTCAACAAGTTTCAAGATTGAATTCAGGAGAAAAATGAGTGAGATTTTCTACTGACATTGGGAGGAAGATAAGGTGGAAGACGAGGAAGAGCTCCTAAAGGCCTAGTGAAAGCCCTCTCCAGTGCTCGGTGCACATTCTCTTCATGCCTCAGCTTCCTCTTCAGATTATCAACCTGACCCACATTACGCATTTTCAGTGGCAAATCGCCAAGATCGGAATCACGTATCAGAAAGCTACCAAATCCAAGGACCGAACCGTACATCTTGCAGCAGTTCCATTTTCCTCTCCCTGTTAGCTCGCCTCCTATTAACCAGATATTTGCCTGCAACTGTCGCCGTGCCATTGCCTCTGTGCTCCATCTTCTTCTCCTCCTTCGCGGGGTTTCAGCAGAGAGATGACAACCAAATCAGATTTTCAAAAGAGAAAAGTTTTCAGTGATGGGAGCTGCTGTTCTTTTCGATAGCAGCTAGTGAGAAACAGCAAGGCACAAGTTCGGAATTGGATAAGAAAGAGTAGACGATCGCTTTCACATGAACAGAATTTCACAGCAGCGTACTGGAAAAAAGGTAAGATTCGGTGGTTGATTAGTCTAATCCCCAAGGAAAGAATCTAAAAATATCGGAATCCAATAGTCTGAAGTGAGACTCTATCAGATTACCACCAAAAGCAACAAACTTTCCCGGAAAATCCACATGCCCACCAAGAAAAATTCCCAAAACCAGCAGGGGAGAGAGAGAGAGAGAGAGAGAGTTACTTGACCGTCGTGCTTTGAAGGAGCTTTCATGGAGGGAAGAGCAGCTCGAACACTAGTGTTCATGGCTTTTTTTTATTTCCTCGGGCTTCTCTTTCTCTCCACTCTACAGATGTAAATCCAAAAGACCCATAAATTCTGCCACCAAAAGAGAAAGCAAGCTCGAGAAACAGAGGGGAGAGAGAGAGAGAGAGGAAAAGAAGGGGGAGAAATTGATAGAGAAACAGTTAAATGTGGGCATCAGGACAACTAAGAAGCCAGGAAAAGCCAGAAACTTTTTTTTTTGGGTTAAGGAAAAAGGTTAAAATATAATGTATTAAATTAATTTCCATGGCTGAACCAGTAACTATTTTCTATGAACTTACAGAGCGGGAAACTTCAAAACAAAGCGACCCAGAAGCAGAAAAGCCTGCATGCGTGAGCGCCTCTGCTTATGGTTTTGATTGATCCACCATTTTCTTATTAAATATGCTCATATGTATTCGTATCCATGTATGTATATATGTATATATTATATAAAATCTCACTTCACTTGTGAAAGAAAATCTCGAACAGAGCAAAGAGGAAAACTACAAAATCTCACATTGGAGATGACGACAACTCACCACGTAGGCGCCATAACCTTTCTTCTCGAGATTTATATATATATATAAAAAAAGATTAAACGAAGAAGAAGAAGAAGAAGAAGAAGAAGAAGAAGACAGATCTGTAAGTAGAGATCGAGACTAGAGAGATGAAGACAAGCGAGAGAAAAGACTTTTTTGCGGTTAATAAATTTTATTTTGGTATTTAGTGGCTTTAGTGCTTTCCTTTTCTTCGTATTGTCTATGATACAGCAATGGTTATTATTATTTTTATTTATTTATTTATTTATTTATTATTATTATTGTTATTTTCATTTATCCAAATATCTTTTTTCTTTTTAATTATCAATAAAAAAAAAGTGGGATATGGTGCTTTCCAGCTTTTTTTTTTAACGTGGGGATGGGAATGATACAATTGTTCGTACTTTTTTTTTTTTTGTTGGTGTAAAAAAATCTAAAATGTTATAAACTTATCAAACTGTGGATATATTACTGCAAGCACCAAGTGAGGTGATTAAGTTAATCCAAAAAGATTAAGAAATTAATGTAACAATTAATTAAGGAGGTGATGAGTTGTTGTGACTCGTGAGTGAGATGCCGTTTTGAGAAAGCAATTGCTAACGTGCTAATTAATCATTCATCAAACTTATAAAACCAAAAACCGAAAACCCTAATCATGCTGACATGTCACTTCGACAATTTCTTTTTCTTTTTACTTTTTAATCAATTGGCCTTTTTCTTTTTCTATTTTCATTAGGATTATTTTTTTCAGATTAATATTGTTATAAGTAAATTATATATGTTAACACCACCACATAAAAAAATTACCACGTGGCCTCCGGACAAAGGAAAAAGTCGAACCACTTTTAACTTTGTATGTGAAGTCGGTTGGAACCAGATCACACCTTTCCAAATCGATATCATTCTGGTAATGAATGATAATTAATTTAGATTGCATATGTAATGCTAACCATTTTTTAAATTCTATTTTTGTGAAGTTCTTATAAATGTGTTGTGAATTATAATTGATTGAGTTCCCAAAGCTTTTGGAGAATTTGAAACATATGGTTTTTCTATCGTACAATATTTACATAATTAAATTTTCTAGGGAAATTAAATATTTTGAATACATAAATTTAATAAAAGTGAAATAAATATAACTTTTAAAAATAAACAGACAAAACCCAAAACATCAAACCGATATAAAGTTGTAAATACTATAAAATTATGGTGGAAACGGTTCTCTTTACTTTAGAAAGCTATATGGAACACGGAGTTGCATTTTCCGAGGCAAAGCGTGGTATATTGTATTATATTATATATTAATAATAATTCAATGGTCTTTTCCTAAGAAAATGGTGTAACTATTTTATAATTAATCATGATCAAGTAACGGGATTAGGTGTTCATAATTTAATGATATTTTCCTATATCATATAAACTAAGCACGTGACATCGCATGATCAAAAATTAGCTTTTTACTCATGCCCCCCCCCCATGTCTCGTGGGGGTCCCATCAACAATTTACTCCTCATTTATTTAGTTACAGAATAAAACTAACTTATTATTAATTAGAGATTATAATTAGCAGGATTAATATACATATATTTATATACATGTGTGTAATAATATTTCATATTTCTACGCAACTACGTTCATTGTATAGCACATATTTTTTTTAAAAAAAAATTAAATACTACGGTTGATTCAAATAAAAATTTATTTCGTGTTAATTGAATTAGTTTTAAGTGAAATAACAATTTTATTTTATTTTCATAAATGGGGTAATCTACACATGGAGCCTCACACCCTATGTCATGACATATAATCATATATATACACTCTTTTGGTTGGTAAAAATAGAAATATGAAAAGATGGACCAGGCAATTGATAGCCAATTACATATCCATGAACTAAGACACACACACATACACAAATATATATACATGTATATATATATATATATATATGTGTGTGTGTATATATATATCCGAACGTGTTTTCATTTATAACCGAAGGCTCTGCTACAGAGTGATAATGCAAACGCAAACGCAAAGGCATGCGGTGTTCCATTTTCCATCGATCGAAATGATTGTCGCTTCAGAACCTTTTCTTTTATCCATGCGTAATTTATATATTTATTTTTCTGAATTTGAAACATTTTATTAGTTACAATATAGGAGAATATAAACTTTATAAAAAAAAAGAATATACCACCCTGCTTATAACGTAATATAAAATAATCGGCAGCAATGAGGAATTAACGTGGGATCTCTCAATTCCATAGAACAAACAGAAAAAGATAGATATTGCAAGAATCCAAACTATACATAATGTCATAAAATGGTCCAAAGCTGCAAATTTCCCCTTTAATTTATTTCCTTTCAGTGGTCCTCGCCATCAAACCCACGATTACTGTGTTAAATAAATAAAAAGCAAGGGAAAGTATAGTACAACCATTTGATTTGATGATAATGGTACTGTGGTTTCTATTTGGTTAATTTCGATTCTGTTATAATATTTGAAATGACTTTTTATGACCTTAGAAATCCTTTAAACAAAAATATTCCATGCAATTAAATTCATTTAATGATCAATAATAACAACCGGGTTGCGGTGCCCTTTTTAATCAATTTTATTGTCATTATATATAGATATATGGGCGGATCCACTCGAAGATGAATAGGGGCACTGGCCCTCACTATATTTTTTTTTTAAATTATTTATAAAATTTATTTAAAATTTTGGAAAATACAGTTAATGTCCCGTTATAATTTGGTTATGGACCCATTGTTGTTAATTTTGAATGTATCTTAAAATGTTATCTAACAAATCAAATAAAAAAAAATCTGTAACTCCTATATTTTTTTTTCTATTTTAAATTTTTATTTTTCTGTTTAATTAAATAAAAAATTATACCATATATTTTGATTAACGTTTTTGTATTATATATATATTTTTTTTTTTATTTTTTGCCCCCGTTATAAAATTCTTGGATCCGCCACTATATATGATGTGTAGCGCTAACTTATACACAAGGAATCAACAAAGGAGAGAAAAAAATTTTATATGAAACCAAACGAATTTGGTCCAAAGGGACTGGCGAGTGATGAGAATGAGTACTGTTCCAATGCCCTTTTTAAAAAAATTATTATCACTCTATAATATATTTGTGCATATATAATGTATGCATGGTCATGTGTATATTTGGGTATATATAATGTATGCATGGCCATGTGCATACGTGTGTGTAATGATTTGTAGGTAAGCGCATTAACCTTTAGAATGGATCAAATATCCAACCAAAAGAAGTCGACGTCATTTATTTCTTCCATATCAAATATCGAAATTTAATTTGGCAATTTCCCCGCTGCATGTATGGACCATTTTCAGTTCCAAGTGATTCTTCTATTAATTCAAAAGCTCCAAAATCTGAAACCAACGTGTTTGCCCTAATCATTTATAATTGACAAACCGATTCTACATATAACATTTCTAATTAATTTATTGCTTTCTTCTTTACATAAAATGCCAAATATTATTATTTCATACTATAGATATTTATATTTTCTCTGTCGTAGTTCTCTTAAATTACTATGATTGGTCCTTAAACCGTATAAAATCTTAACGATGATTAATCAATATATAGCTTTTAAAATCATTGAACACACGCATGGTCGAAAGCACACACAAGACGAAAATCAAAGCCACATTAAATGTTTTGGGTGATATATATATATATATATAATAAAGGCGCGGCAGAGATTGCACATGTTCATCTCCCGCTTTGTAATTAATGTATTTACTACAAATGTTAAAACTATATATATATATATATATATATATATATATAACATAGTCTTGGACTTTAGAATTTCTAACACTATAATATATACGCCATTAATGGACCCTTTTGTGGAGCTGAAAGGTACGTACAACCATGACGCGGAGCATCTCGCGAGACAAGAAAACATGAAACTTTGCTCTTGTGAATTTTTGTACTGTTCATAACGCAAGATTTTGGACCGACCCCTTTTTTCTCTAATTTGCAACGCTGCCCAACGGTCCCCGAAATCAATGATTAGTCAATTCTAAATTTTATTTTTCTTTTGCTAACCATTGTGTGGTCCAATAAGGCCCCTCTTAAGTCGAAGTCACAAGAAGGCGTGATCTGTGTCCTTACAAGCTTATATATCGTCCATTTTGTAAATGCCACGACTTCACATCCGCGTGCATGTGGAAATCATTACAAGTTCTTCAGATATATATTTAGGTATCCAAGAATTTGTAATATGTAAGAAACTTTATATTCTATGACATAATATATTTTCATATGGCCATGCAAGTAGTTGGGTTTCTTAACCAGATTTGAATCTTTCAAGATCATATTAGCATTCGAACCCTAAAAATATTAGTCGTGTTTAAACGACCATTAATCCTTGTTATAGTAATGTAAATTATATCTGTAATAAACATGAAATCAACTTAAAAGAATTCATTAGTGCCTAGCTATAAAATTCACCAAATCAAACAATAATGAACTTTCATAACTATTTTTTTTATAAAAACCCATCAATATTGTAGGTGGATTAATCACGAACACGCCTCTCTCTAGTAGATGTCGGACTCATAAAAAAAATGAACCACTTGCATGTGTGATATGTACGTACTACTGCGACTACAAGTACTATATGATCTCGTCATCAATAGAATTTTTTGGTAGCTAAAGTAGCAATAATGTGATTGATAACACATGAGATGGGATGCAGACTTTGTCTAGACCATGCACATATTGATATACATATACATATACACATATATATTTATGTATGTATGACAACTTTCAGCATGGCAAGGATCGATTGAAA